AGAGAGCAACAGAAACGGGAACATCCAGACAGAGACCGACCGGGTAAGAGACGACATCTTTTTTGGAGCAAAACATCGCAAGGCACCCAAAAGCCAGCGTGATCATGATGACACTCAGTCGAGTGTCACAAAACACAGTATACAAATACAGATGAGAAAGCTCTGCACTGTAGGTTGACACTCCATGAAGGAGACACACACAATAATTTAGAACACCAGAACTGGAACATGCAGGTAATAGACACCCTTAGCAAACAACGGTAACGCTATTTTTTACGGTACTCGTACCTTGATCACCCACATAGTGTTGACGCTGCAGCGTATAAACGTTATGGGGGCTGATTTATCGTTGTGACCAACGGTACGTGTTTTAGCCAAATATTGCATAGTCCGTACACATTTCACCTTGTATCGCGTATATTGTGACAAAAATGGTTGTACCGCGCGAAACCAAAGCTATTCTCGCAACAACAGCGTACTAAAAATAGCGTGCATCTTGCTAAAGGTCGAACCCAAATCACGGTATTTTCCCCCTTACCATAATACCGTTACAACATAACGTTGTTTGCTAAGGGTGTCTATTGCACAATAACAAACACCTGAAAATAGAGTTTTCTAGCAAAGGATCCAAATTTTTTCGAAACTACTAGCAGAAACTTACTGCCATTCTTACATGAGCTAACAACATTTCATACGACGGAAAAAGAAGATGACCGTGTGCTTAGATGCATGGCTACGATCCACATGCCAGATCAGGTACAGGGTAGATCGGGTACAAGCCAGATCAGGTACAAGCCAGATCAGGTACAAGCCAGATCGGGTACAAGCCAGATCGGGTACAGGGCAGATCAGGTTCAAGCCAGATCAGGTACAGGGCAGATCAGGTACAAGGCAGCAAGTCACGAAAGCAATGACTGGAGACTTGTTTCTGCTCTACCCTAGCCATCAAACAGCAGCAGCGTGCAGGGATCAGACACACGGCTCCACGGCGGCATTCGGAAATAAGGTGGTGTATTCCGGCAGTGCAGACCAACTACCTTGCCGAGTATTAGCACAGCAGACACCTCAGTCATTGCCGTCAGCGAAATGAATACCAATTCGAAAATAGAATCATCCAGTGTCAAGTGTACATTATCCTATAATAATTATTTGTTCTTTAAAATGGAACAGACATAGATGTCTCCCTCAACGCATGGAAGAGATCTACCTCAGTCACCACTAGCATCAAGTAAAATAAACAAATAAAAATTACACTGTAAACGTTTTGTCTCCAAACCCTACGGGCTACAAGATGGCCACCATACTCTGGAGTAATCCATCAATAGCTAGGGTGTTGAGCTGTGGCGTGTTCAAAATGAGCACAGTTGCTACGGAAACTGTCTAAGAGCCGGTTCCTTGACAATTTCCTCATATTACAGTGGACGGCAGTTTTGTTGCGGACCCAAAAGTTTCGTCAGCACCACACTCTTACCATACAGTCAGTTCCGCATGCCGAAGTGTTGTTGCCGGCTACGATGCCGCTCCTTCAGGACTCTGCGCTGATCCGCGGCGAGCTCCTCGTCGGCCGGCGTCTCCCCTGGCGTGACGAAGCGTGACTGACTCTCACTGGTGTCCTGCAGCACACGCACGTAGTCCACGACGTGTTGTATGGGGAACGCAGTGTCGGCGTGAACCGGCCCTGCCCAGCCGCCGAGCGCCGAGTTGAGGATGAGAAACATGGGGACGTGCGGCACGCCCTCGTTGTACTTGTCGGTCGGGTACGTGGAGAGATACGGACGGCTGTCCACGTAGAAGGTCAGCTTGTCGGCGGACCACTCCACGGCGTACTCGTGGAAGCCGCCGTCGAACGTTCTGTCCCCGAGCACTCCGACCCCGGTGGAGGTCTGCTGTACGCCAGAGCACTTGTCGTCGGCGTAGTACTGGCTGTAATGGTACGAGCCGTGTGCCCCGCCGTCGCCGTTCAGCATCTCCAGGATGTCCACCTCGCCAAGGCCGGGCCAGCACGCCTCCGCCACCGCCGGCATCATCCAGTGCGCCGGCCAGAAGCCGCTGCGGTTGGCCGGCAGCATGGCGCGCACGCACACGCGGCCGTACTGCACGCCAAGCTTGCCGCTGGAGTCCACCCAGGCCGACGTGTAGTTTTTGCCGTTCTTGTCTTGTTGCAGCGAGGAAATGACCAGAAACCCCTCGGACACCTGAGCGCACAGGACAAGGGAAAAAGTGAAAATACAGACCATAAGAATGACAGCGATGCCTATCACGATCGCAGCAATAATACAAGTAGAAGCAGGAGAAGCAGCATCGGTTGTGCTGCTTCTCCTGCTTCTACCTTGTATTGCAGCAACACCAGTGGCAACAATGCCAGCAGCAACACCACCAACAACAACAATACCAGCACCACTACCAACAACTGTTACTGCTGCTGCTAGAATAGCGGCAGATGTAGCAGCAGCAGTAACAGCAGTGACAACAACAGCAGCAACAGCCGCAGCAGGAGCACCAACAGCGGCAACGTAGCCTCCATCACCAGCACTAGCACCACCACCGCCACCACTACAGCCACTGCTGCTATCATCAACCACCCTGCTACACCGACAACTATGACCATAACATCACAAACAGCAACAAAAAAAACAAAACAAAGAAACTACAGCAACAGCAACAGCACCAACGTCAAAACTTCTCTTCTCTTATAACAAAAATTACGCTCACACAAAGGCATGCTTCTGCTCTCCCTAACCCATGAACTTTTCAGCACTGGCCTATATCTAGTCAACTTTGTCAACTTTGCATATAACAACACTCGGCGGGCATCAGAAAAGTGTCCTTATTCGCGAAGTGTATACCCAATGTCTCATTGTATGTATTACAGCTAGATGGGACTTTGCTCTGGGCTTGGAAATTCTGTCGTTATATCCGCAGCGTTATGTAGAATTAGGTGACCAGCGTTCCCTTCACATACAGTGCATACTCTAGTGCCTTTTAGGTGTAATTTAAATTTAGGTGCCTGGTTTCTCTACCGAAATCACCGAAATTAAAGTTACACCGAAAATTACATGTACCAAAATTATCACGCCACAGAAAATTCAAAGTTTTACAGTACTAGCACAGCGGTCGCATGTGGAACAGCGCTAGCGGGAGATGTTTGAAAAAGTGAAGGTGGACTGACTGAGACACCCATACTGGCAGAAGTGGATCCAGCTGCTGCCCACAGTTCTGCAGCACACACTGCACTGTGTGCGACCACTGCTTCTGGAGCAAACCGGGACTGAATCGTCATTGGTGTTCTCCGGACAACCAAGCGGCCAACTGCTAATGAGCGAGCGGTTTTCACTATGCCAGTGTGTGCGGCAAACGTTTTCGCCGAGTGACACACCCGGATCGTCAACAGGCGTCCTGCCCCCCCCTCTCTCTCTCTCTGTCTCTGTAATCTCTCTGTTTCTCTCTTCCTGAACTTCCCGGATCGGGACAAGGGAACCATTGCAGCAGTGGCTCAACAGGACAGGACAGGTGTGTGTGTGTGTGTATGTGTGTGTGTGTGTGATGGGCTTTCCAAAGGTGTGTGTGTGTGTGTGTGTGTGTGTGTGTGTGTGTGTACACACTCACATGCGTGCTCACATGCATGTGAGTGTGTGTTGTGTACTCCAAGTTTACATGCTATACGAGAAAAGCTGCGGGTGTCCATCAAGTGCATTTACGGATTTGCGTGATTCTCAGCAGCTTGCGACAGGCGTACATGTTACCAAGAGTACATAAGCCCCCCAGAGTTTGTAACGCCAGATCCAGCTCTGCATAGGGTTGTGGAGTTTGGAACGCCAGATCCAGCTCTGCATAGGGTTGTGGAGTTTGGAACGCCAGATCCAGCTCTGCATAGGGTTGTGGAGTTTGGAACGCCAGATCCAGCTCTGCATAGGGTTGTGGTCTAGCATAGTCGGATTTTCTGATGTCATGCGTACTCTCGACACCAGCGCAAGGCAGGGCACCTTTGTTTTCGAGTCGAGAGTCCCCAGGTCTGGGGTGTTCTTATTGAAGTAAAGTCGCGCCAGAATGCACAAACAGTACGGGTGCTACAGTATGAGGTTATGATATTATGTGTACCAATCTCGTGTCCTGCTCGCGAAACCAGATCTGTACAGTATTATGACGCAAAGATCCAATCACGCTCGACCAAGATGCTACAGTCAGACCTCGCTTATCCGGTCCTCGTTTATCCGGATCTCTCGCCATCCGGAAGAAAATCGTCGGTTACCGATTTACAGCATATGCCATGCTTACATACGGTATGTGTGTTCGATTATCCGGTTCCCGCGCCTATCCGGATATTTTTGTGGAAAACGGATCATGTGTGCTGTTATGCGAGGTCTGACTGTACTACATGTAGCAGGCAGACCTGGATCTGGCGTTGCACACTCCGCGCGGTTATGTACTCTGGTTGTTACATACAATGCATACAAATGTGCGTCGGTCCCGTGTGCGCATGTCACCATGCGAACTTGTTGGATGATAATATTCTGCGAGCATCTGTACTCGCACATCCCCTTTCCCCTCATCATGCTCATGCCCTGGTTGAATACACACACCACTGGGTCCCTGGTGCCTTTCCTGAATTTACGGACAACACCTGCACACTAAATCATTGACAAAATCCAATTCAGCAAGTCACGTCAACTTGTATTACCTCAGCGTTTTGTGGGAGGTAGTATTGCAGCTCATTCTCATGGCCAACTTCTGCTGTGGTGCGCGCCGTCCACAAACTAGAGTTCAGCTTGTCGCCATCGAATTCTTCATTGAGCACGACTTTCCACTGGCCACTGGTAATATCCGTGGATTCCAGACTACAGAGTGATGGGATTGTGTCCGCCTCGGCAAGAAAACAGGAGGCAGACGCCGCCACGAGCACGCAGAGACTGCTCAGCAACATTTCTAAGCTCTGCTCGAACTGCGATTTACTTCTCTGAGAATTCTGGAGATATCCGCGGCCTTTTATCATGTTTATTGCTTTGTTTGAAATTACTGTATCATTCAGCTGGAAAGCCGCTGAACTGACGTCATAACCTCTTTTTTTTTGATTTCTTTAAAAATGAGAAAAGTCGAATGAAAAACCAAGAAATCATCACAACCAAGCAATAGTCCATCGGCCAAATCTCAGAAAGGGCCTCTTTCGGCGAAGGTGATGCACTGAAGCTCCAACTAAACGCCCTTTGGCACACTAGCTCATGAGACCCCATAGAATACGAATCCGATTGTTGGACGTTGCCAATCCAGTCCAGGATAGTCGAACTGGGTCGAATACCTTCTTCCGATTTTCGTAATTTCGTCCACCATTACATCTTTCTCATCGACTTTTTTTCGCTTGGCGAATGTTCTTGAGCCGCTGAGCAGAATCTACGCACGCTCGAACACTTGAAATGCCTGCATGTTGACGGTTCGCAAGATTCTAGCGAGCTTGGTGGAAATCTATTATTTATTTTGACATTTTTGGGGGAATCTGAATTAGAACGGTAGAAGCTCATTCGGAGAAGACGGCGTGTCGCCGCTGTCGGATTGTCGCTACTGTGTTTCAGACGTATTTGCTTGAACGTGCTATTGAGGATGGACAGAAGATGAAGTGACGGCTTTCTTGAACACGGACGTTGTGTCTACATTGTCAGGGGCGTAGCACCCGCTACGACTGGTACGACCATGGCCGTACCACTTTTCGAAAAGTGTGGTCCGTCCGGAACGTGCACAACCGTAATAAAAGAAATCCGGATCCATCGATGCATATGCGCATCAGACTTTGACCTTCTTCTAGACTCGTAGATCTGTTATGCATCTGCAGTCGGACTGAGTCTACTGTACTCGACTCGACTGCATGCACACTGCGCCAGAAGTGTGTGTGAAGTGTGCCAGAAGTTCCCAGAACGCAGGATTTTGTGTCTTTTTTACAAAATTTTCCCGCGGGAGGTCCCCCGGACCCCCTCCAACACGGCCTTCGGCCGCGCCGACCTTCGGTCGTACCACTTCCAAAACCCCTCCTACGCCCCTGATTGTAGCTGAAACATCTCATCTGGCGTCTAGAACGCAATTATTATGAGTTGTGAGTGCCAGCTGAGCTGAACACAAGCTGGACACCATTCGTCAGCTGGGAATTTGCATCGAAGCTCTTGATAGCCACGATAAGCATAATTATAGAGGTAACCTTGTTTGGCTCAATACGCATGCAGGTGATACCACTAGTGGCACTACAATGTAAATGGTGCAAAATTGATGCAACAGCGAATATGTACTTCGTACAATCACGAACAATTGTAAGGCAAGTGTTCATGCCTGTCATAGAAGAATTTCAGCCTGGAAGTCTTGTTGTCATGGTCATAAATAATACAGGACTTGAGTTGGCTCTGGACATAAACACACTTGTGGTGAATACGGTCATTATTACGAGAAAAATATTTAGCCACTGTATGTTAACACCTGATGCCGCACTACACGCAATATTTCATGTACATGTATGTGAGACTCAATTGCATCCACAAGGCCGTAGATGCATGTAAGCACACAATGCTGTACAGTATAAGTAGTAGTCGACATGTGGTGCCTTCCAGCTGCACATGCAAATGCGGCAAGTTGGCAACGACACATGACCTATCTGCACCGCACAGCTTGAGCTTAGAAAGGAATATTGCACACATAGTGCTATTTGTGTTCCGATATCATTAAGCCGGTATACATGTACTAGTATCCTTATACATGTACCTGGTCACTCGATAGGCGATGCCGACTGTACTAATCTTATCCATATTACCCGACAGGCTATAGCACACTGCGTCAGATCACTTTGCAACAAAACAAGAGCTTTGGAGCGAATATACACTGAAGCAAAGTAGGTTTCAACGGTACAGCACTAGTCACGATGAGGGGAGTTACGAGGATGGTTAGGCCGTGACACATAGATGATGATTGTTAATGATTCATGCACGGTGGAAAATTACTACCAATGGCGATGATATTGCTTTCACAACAATGACATCAGTAGGAGCAGTGACACAACCTTACTGCTCCAAGTAGGATTTACAAGCGAGTGAAGGGAGAGCAGACTGGTCTAATAGCAGACCGGGTCTAAGCAAGGAAGTAATCGGCATCAGAGGTGAGCTTGCACATCAGAAAACAGATGATGATCACCAAACACAGGGAAGTTGGCTATGTGTATGTTTGTGTCACTGTGTGTGTGTGTGTGTGCATGTGTGTTTGTGTGTATGCGCGCACATCTGTGTGTGAGAGAGAGGCAGACAGACAGATAGCATTATGGTGGGAGGGATCAAGGTCTGACCTCAGAGTTAAATGCTGACGGTGTGGAATAGCAACAGTGCGAAATCGGGCAGGTTGGTTAATGGCCCACACTGGAGCCGAGTAGGAGCGCCAGTGGTTGAGGGCTAGCACAGGAGTAGCAGCAGCTCCAGCCTAGGAAGATCAGCTTCTGGATGAAAATCTCCCGGACACAGTAGGTACCAAGCTTCACTAGCAGATTGCCGGCAGGGGTGCACGGCGAGCACCCGTACATCCCTCAAGCCATCAGAGCCGCAGTACTTGGACACGATCCAGGTGCTTACCCGCCAACAATGCTGAGAAGGCACTGGAGCCATACAGGATCTTATGATCGAGCATGCCCACAGACTTGAAATACAGGGTCCGGCGTTGAATACTGAGACAGCGACGTCTCCTCCACAGAACACCACTCAGCCCCACCATTGCATTATTTTCGTTTTTTCATGATTTTTACAATTGTGTTAGAGCACACAGCACTCGATGCAACATTTACCAGTGACTAAATAACTCCGCGTCTCCGACCATAACTGCAGCGTTCCCGTGAGCCTGTTGGATTTCCGTCAGCCTGTTGAGATTATCTTCATCTCGTCACATGTGAGCCTGTGTGTTTCATCCGTATCGTGGCACAATTACACAGACACGATTTCCAACTCAGGCCGGTTCCGTTGCTCGAAGGGTTGGCGGTAAGAATTGCTACGCCGTCTGTGGCTGCATGGGAACTTGGCGAGTCGTCGTCTTTCTCCATAAATCCTGATCGTCACGCGAACAACAGCCACTATTGCCTAAAAACTACGACACAACAGTATCAAGCTCGCCCCAGCAGAAGGACACGAATGACGAGCGCTAAGACGGAGAAAGAGAGACAGGGTTAGCGAGAGCTGACTAGTGCAGGTACGCTGTCATCTCCTGAGGTGGTGGGCGAAGCAGCGAAGTGAAACGAAGGAAGATAGAACTTAATTAGAAGGCATACGGAGGCACCAAAACCTATTGCCTGTCACATACTAAGTGCCATTTAGGGTTGACAGCTGTCAGCTGACAGCCTCAAAAATTTGAAAATCTGCTCAAAAAACTCTCGATCAGAACTCTGTGCACTCTCAAATGGAGCGCACAGTAAAAAACTCGGCGACGAAGAACGCTTCGTATCGACGCCCTGGACTGAATTAGGCACGTCCAACAAACGGAATAGTGTTCTCTGACATATTCTCTACGTGCTGGGTATGGTCGCGTTTAGTTGGAAGCTCAGTGCATCACCACTTTCGATTTTGAGACTTGGCCGATGGACTACAAGTCCAAGACTGGCAAGACAAAGAAGAGTACGAGCGACTACCAAGAGTAGATAAACAGTAACTGTTTATCTACTCTTGGTACTACTGTATACAGTCCATAACCCAGGGTTATTTTTTCAAAGTTTCACTGAGCCTCTTGTACGGGCTGCAAAATAACACATTTTGTGAAGAATCAACACATAAAACGAATCATCATCATACAGTATTTACAGCGTCTGTCACTCAGTAGGATCACTGCACTGTGCAGGTTCACTGGATGCGTGCCTCCGCCGCCACTAGCACAGCAGGGGACTCAGGCACGGCAGGAGCAAACATGCTCCTTGAGCCACGCAGGCACATAGCACCACAACGCACCAGGGCAAACCCAAGGCGACAGCGCAGCAAGGAGATAGTCTGCCCGTATGGCTCCTTACTCTTCTCAGCCAGGAGAGAGGCGATCCGCGTGAAAAGAGCATTGGCATGCTTGCCATAGCCACCAGAGGCAGAAAGCACAACGGGCACGAAGGAGGCATGCTCAACTTCACGTACTCGCTCCTCGTACTTCCGGCGCTTTTCCTGTTCATGGCGTCTGTAGCTAGCAGCGAGGGAGGTGGCACGATGATTCGAAGACGCAAAAGGGTTGAACACCCGTACATCAATAAAGATGCGCTCGAATCGGCCACCCCACACACCACTAGCCGCAACGTCCAGCCGAGCTTGCTCCTCCGTGACAGCTGTGCGATGGCGGAAGGCCTCTCCGGTGACGGGCTGGAGGTGGGGTTCCACTGTCACGTTGTGAGCGACCTGCCTTAGAGCTCTGGCGGCGATGTCCCTCACCTCGTTATGTCGCAGCATCGGGAAGCCACCAAACGGGCATGACAGGGCGTGACTCACATTCAGCGGCTTACTGCACACGCAGAGGCTTAGGAGCCGAGGAGGTTTCCAGCCGTACCGGAGGCACAGGCCATCCCGGAAATCTCCCTTGCTGAGTGTGAAACCATGGCGGCTGAGGGGGCGGCAGGTCAGCCAGCTGGATGCACCCTTTTCTGAGGCCAGGTCGAGAACAGGGGCCAGCTCCCGGTGATCCGAGCGAAGAGCGTCAGCCATAGACTTGAACGCGCTCCGCTTCTCGGCCCGAACCGTCGCCTTGACCGTTCGGAGCTGAGTCAGAGAGTCGCCAAGAGACGACTCCTGCTCCAGCAGGCGAGACACGAGGCTAGCCGTGATCCTTCGGGATGAGGTGTACTGTTCAGCCACTGAACAAGGGTCTGCCATACCCAGTCCCCCAAGCCGGCAAGGCAGAGAGAGTAGGGAGCGAACAGTTGTCCCAGGTGGAGCCTGACCCGTGATGGCCGGGATGAGCCGACCGCTGATTGCGTGTTCCAGCGGTTCAAGCAGGGACGGCGGGATGGAGGAGGTCCGGCAGAGGA